CCGCATGTCCATCGTTCCCAGGCTCACCAAAATCATGGATTCATCGGTGAGATACCTGTGTCCAAAGGTCTTGATAGGCTCTGCATTCCGTAGAGAGGTCGGGGCAGGAGTACCGTTCGATCTTCTCTCAGCAAGCGACGACAGGGGAGGAGAGGGCGGATCAGAGGCCACAGGAGGCACAGGGATCACAGGCTCCGATTCACTGATAGTCGGCGCGGGGGTGACCTTGGCAAGACACCGCGCGATGTCAAGGTGACCTCTCAGAGACGCATGCTCCTTCGCGGTCCAGCCAGAGGAGTCGCATCTCTCCAGATTGGCACCGGCCTGGATGAGCTGCTCCACTACACTCAGCGCGCCATCAACACATGCAATAAACAAAGGAGTCCAGGAGTATGTGTTTTCCGCAAGCTCTGTATCTGCCTTTTGTTCGCCGTTGCCCTCCAGCAGGATCTTGGCGCACTTATCATGGCCGAACCGGGCTGCAACATGCAACGCAGTTTCGCCTTGTTCGTCCTGATAGTTAATATCCACGCCGGCCTCAACCAACAGCTTGACGATGTCCACAAAGTTGGCTTTGGTGGCTAAAGCAAGCACTGCACTAGACCGTGAGACTTGCTTACGGATCTTCGCCTTGTCTTTGTTGGCACCATGCCAATTCTCTGCCTCGAGAAGAGCACGGGTCGTCAACGGGTGGCCCCCAACAACACTCAGGTGCAATGGAGCCCAGCCATCGTTGTCTTGCCAGCGCGGACTATCAATGCCCTCGGTCACATCAAACAGGTCCCACGCCTGCAAATGCTCGATGATGACTTCGCAGACAACCTTGAATCCATACTGCGCCGCGTAGTGTAGCGGCGTGCGTCCCGCAATGTCCTTGGCGACGAGCGCACCTCGTTGGTTGGGCTGGAGCTGGTCCAAGAGATGCTGCAAAACCGACACAGAGGGATCAGACCGATCCAAATGACTAGGCTGGCCCGCCTCCATTATGACTGGGCGAGGGGGCTGCAGGGTCGGCAGGGCAGCGGGAGTGATGTAATTGGACGTTTCCAGAGGGAAGTCCAGGACCATGGACGCAGACTGCTCTGAGTCTGTGGTAGACTGCGCCCGGCCAATCGATATCACCAAGCGATGTATACAATTGCGCCTATTGATATCATCCTCTTCGTCCAGAGAGTCCATGCGACCCAGAAGGACCGAGATGCAGCGGGTGGAACGGTAGTTGATGGACCGCTGAAGGAGGCTGCTAAGGACCTTAGGGTATACATCTTCTCCCGACTCATCTGCCGCCGCTTTGAGAGTTTCAAGTAACTCCAGCAGCACATGAGTATCATCCTTGCGCAGCGCCTCATCGACCGTCTGAAGCATGCTCGCAGGCAAGTTCAGGTTGGGGCGTGCAGGGCCGTTCTTCAATGACAAGGAGGAGCGTATGGAGCTCGCATCGTCGTCGATCTTCTGCTCGCCCAGGACGGACAAGCGGTCATTAATCTTCCTCAATGCGTCAGTGACCCGAGTGTTCGAAGCGAACGGCGCCGGATCGACCTTGGTCTGCAGATACTTTTGCTGCGCTTGAGCGCCAACCTTCTTGTCGAGCTTCTTGGTGATTTTGACGAATCCTTGACGGTTGAGCTCGCCGTACCACTGCAGTTTACGCATCTGGCTACGCAGTTCCAGCAAAGCCGCCAGAAGGTCTTCGACATCCTGGGAATCCAATCGCTGACCACCATCCAAAGACTGCCCGTATCTGTCCTCCAGCAACTTAAGACGGCGGGAGAAATCGGCGTACTTTTTGTTGTAGAAGTGATCGACATCCTCGAGATTTCGATCGAGGGAGTAGAAGAAACCTATGCGACAGAGTTAGCTAGGATCACATTATGATGAACAACGCAATTATCCGAAGAGCGACTCACCAGCAAGGTCCGCCTCCTGGCCAGCCTTCACTTTTTCCGCCGCAGCCTTGATGAGCTTCTTCAGGGCCTTGTACTTGATGTAATCATCGCCCCACTCGGGGACCACTTTGTGGGATAATTGGCGTCCGAACTTCATTTTCGAAGAAATGTGTATGCAGGTTGTTTTGAGCGGTTTGTGTGAGAACCCAATGAGAACGGATTCTTGAGGGGGGAGTATATAAATCTGAGATCTGAGACACCACGGCTTTCTTTGGTTAAGTGAGATTCAAGAGAACAGACTTTAGCCCACGAACCCAACGGTGTAAATGCCACGTAGATCAAATATTATTCGACGGGCAAATGCGAGAAAGACAAAAGGAAAAGGACAGGTGAAGCTTGAAGGAGAAGAGCGCCATGTGTCAGTTTTATTGCGGAGACATGGAGAATGGTAGAAGAGACAGTTGAATTGAAAATATGGGAGGTGAAAACCTGAGGAATTAGGCGGCTTCAAGAACAAACCGTGGTTCGTAGAAGAAGATGCTGAAGAAGAGAAAGAAAAGGAGGAAGACGGAACAAGGCGAAGGAATTAGTGTGGTTAAGAGGGAAGGATGAAAGAAAGCGCAGTTCATATACTACTTACTACTTGATTGATCGTCAAGTAGTAGTTAAGGCGAATCCCGATAAAGGGGAGACCAACCGACGGAACCTATCAGCACGTGCCCAAAGGGAGGGTTTTTGTAGCTTCGAGAAGTTCCAGCAAGGTCCAGCAATTGCAGCTGCACCCCAGCTAAAGTAAGCAGGTAAGCAAGTAAGAAGAGAGAGGGAGAAGAGGGGCGAGCAAAGGGCCGAGGCCAAATAGTCTTTAAGTCTAAGGCGGTGCTAGCGAAATTCGCTAGTTAGACATGGTCTCCATCGTGACTAACAAAGTAACAAAAGATACTTCGAATACAAACTCCACTTGGCGACGTAAGAGGCAGTCCAGGCGACTCACCTCGACTTATCCAGATTGTTGGCCATTAATCGCCGGACGCTGGATCTGCTGCCCGGCGGACGCTCTCTGATTTGCCCGCGGCGCAGCGCGGATGAGCGGTTCGAACCACCGGATGAAGCAAAATGCAAAATTTCGAGTTTGCAAGGCACGGGATGATTATGATTGCCAATAATCTGAGAGCTCAAATGGCGGTAAATGAATGGACGATGATAATGATGCTGATGCTGCTGATGATTATTTTGCTTGGGATGAAACCACCCAGTAGAGGAAAGCTGATCCCTTTCACTGCACGAGTAAGGAGCAAAAGTGTAACTGGACCAAACAGATCACCACTATTGGTGCAGAGATTCTTCTTTCATCTCTATCCAACTTGAAACTTGTTACTTGTCAGTAGTGATAGACACTAACTTCTGTAACAATCCCGTCAGAGTTGAGTTAGTATGAGTCTGGAACCCCCATTCAGCACCAGAATCCCCACCCTATATATAGCCGGACGACCCGCCACCCACTCCTAGGGCCTGAAGGGGATCCAATCATGTCACTATCGTGAGATATTAATCGGCCACTGGAAGGAAGGGGAGAGGGTGCTCATGATCACCATCTCCTCTCCATCTCCTCCTTTCCCAACACCGCTTTCTCTTGGGCGCAGGATGATGGGTGGGCTGGAAGGGAGGGGAATGGGAAAATCACATAAGGGGGAGCCACTTTGTGTGGGGGAAACTTCAGGGTGGAAACTTGGCCTGCATGGAATGGATGGAAGAAGTGGGAATTCAACCATGATGCACGTCACATGCTCTCCTCCTCTAGTTGTCGGTGAGGTTTCGTTTCTTTGAAACTCCGAAAAAAAAAGTTCTGGCTGGTTGTGGTTCCTGACTCTGGTTTCTCCTTCCTCCGATATTCCATATCGTGATCACTCGTCGGAGGGTTTTAGTCTTTGGAGGGGAATGCCACTGATTGCTCAGGTTTCGTCCATAATAAACTATGTTAATAGATTACTACAAAGTACCTATCAACTGGGTGGGGAGCAGACCATGTACTACTTACTACGAATCTGACCATCTGCTTCCGACACCCTCCTACTCCGATGTAGCATCTATCACTTCATGTTGATCACTGCCCTCATCCACTCAGCTTCCTTCCTAACGATCGACCAGCGGGAAAGCTTATCATCTGTCACTTTCCTTTCCCCTCCCCTCCATAACGGATAGTACTCTGCTCGTTGTGTACACTAGTAAGGACAATACTACTCAATACTACTAGACTGGGGGTTAGCATCAGCCAAACTTCGAAAGTTATGGACCCTCGCGAGCTAGTATGTATATGATTCCGTAGCTTGTGAATAGTGTACCGACGTTTCTCGGTTATCAGCGGCATCCCAACGACTCTGTAGTACGAGGCCGCAATAAAGTATCCGTTCCAGAACTCTGGGATTCATCCAGGAAGATAGACCTGAATTCCTACTGCAACATAATAAGCATCTACACGGGACACAAATGCTATGGTGAGCCCCGCTCCAAGTGGCGTGTTCTGGTGTCGAGGCCAGTGCGACACCATCCCAACATCCATCGATTCCTATCAGGGCTGACTGCAGAGACAAGGATCCGGACGCTTCCGAATGGAACACTCTGGTTCCGACGGGGTCCTCCCAAAAAACCGCGCATTGCATCGTGAGTATCATTCAGCTAGAACGAGTAGATAGTTACTTGGGTAAATCAGACACGGCAACGATCCTGTCGACCGGGTCTATCGCGCTGTCAGAAAAGGGAATCCCACTCGATAATCCCTCATATCGCATGAAATTCTTGTCGACAATGACCCGGACACCATTCCCACGCTCAGAAACAACCCAGATTTATGGACAAATTGACATCGGTCACACAACGTGACGTGAGAAGGAACAACAAAACACCGGGCAAGTAAACTACCAACGCCATAAGGAAATCTCCATAAGAACAACATAGAATGTGAGAGAACACCAAGAAAACCAGAGACCCAGCCCATGAACTTGCAAAATCGAAATGACCGCTATCACAATCAGATCCAAATCACCCAAAAGGAATCATAAAAATGTATTAACCGCCGGAAGATACCCCAGCAAAGCACGCCGCTCGGTTGTCGGCTATCTATTCGACCAATGGCTTCAAGGCTTCGACCCCGACTTGGAGTACCGCGGGGTTCTTCGTCTTCTTCAGCACACTGCTCAGTATATTAACTCCTCCGTTTGCCTTGATGGCTTCCTTGGCCCGCCGGCCAATATCCCCCGTGGCGAGGCAGGTCATGTTCCGCACACAGGCTACACCGCGGTGCACTAGACCCTCATCTTCTTCCTGGCACATGGCCAGCAGTAACGGGACACCCCGAGGCCGTTCCAGGATACCAGCAATGGCTGCTTCGAATTCGGTCAGCATCGCAAGAGCTCCACCAGCAGCGCTCCGGGTTGCCATATCGTCCGTGTCGGTGAGAGCCAACAGCACATGCAGCCGTTGCGCAGCGCGCTTCGACCCATCGGCATATTTGACGATACCGGACTCGCAAGTCATCAAATTGCAGATCAGTTCGCAGGCAGCTCGCTGAACCATAGGACTACTGGAGAGTAAGAGGTCCTCTACTACGGGCCAGGCCTGACGGACGATAGCTTCAGGAGCAGTCTCATCCGGGTGAGAGGCCAGGTTCGTTAGAGCAAGCAGACTCTCAAAGACCGGTAAAAGATTCCGCGGTTGCTCCGCCGTCATGCTAGTCGTCTCCGGGCTTACCAGAAGCGCGGTCAGAGGCCGGATAGCGGATGTGATCTGGGGGAAGCCAGAAGACGGGAACACGTGGACCGGGTTGACGGAAATTAAAATTCGTGCAAGTGCTTGCGACGCATTCTGTACCGCTTCGGTGGCGTTTGTCCCCGCGGTCCCCTGCTTTGCGGCTGCCATAACGAGCAAGAATTTGACAGCACCTTGCTGTGCCAAGGTTCCCCGAGACTTTCGGTCCCATGACAGGGCAAGGACGATCTTGCCCATGAGACCTTGCACCGAGGAGAGATTCGTCTTGCCGCAATCTACCAGTAGAGGCATGACACCAGCCTTGATAAGCGCATTGCAACGTGCTATGACATGTTGCTCGTCATCAAGGGGGTCTGGCTTGGCTCGGGCTCCGCTAGGAGAGGCCTCGGCATAAGACTTGAGTTGGGACATTTTCTTCTGCTCTTCTGTCAAAGTGGGTGGGAATTGTGTGAGGTTCACAATGATCATGAGACCACCGTAAAGCACTGACGAATCGGTGCAGTTTTCGCGCAGAATCTTGACGAGATCCTGTAGGAATGCCACGTCTGTGGCAAGCTGTTCCTTGACAGTGGACTTAACCGATGCATAGGCCAAGCCCTCGATCACGTTGGACAGGTTCTCAGTCTTACGCTTCGACATCAAGTCCTTGAAGCGATCGACGAGCTCAGTGACCCGGCTGTTTTCTTCCTCTACTTTGCCGTTGGAGTCGGAAGAACCAACTTGAGCAGCAGTACGGACCTTGGCCAGAATGACTGCCGCCATCTCGGAGCTCTCGTCGCAGCCATTGGTGAGAAGGTGGGAAAGCCAGGTCGAAAGATGCTTTGAAATGGCTTCCCGACAGGCCGTGTTCATGCACGCAGCATTCAACAATTCCAGAAAATGGGGCTCGACCTTGCGGCTCTTCGCGTCCCTGGAGGTCAAAGGCGCCAAAGCAGCCAGATAGCTCTCCGACAGGAAGAGGTTGGCCGCGACTTCTGGTATCACGGGGAAGACTGCAGCCGTGGCCGAGAATGCCTCGATGAGATCATCGCTGCGACCCTTGACGACCTTGGCAGTTACGAGCCGAGAGAACCGCTCTTCGCCAACTTGCTTGGAGATTTCGAGGTACTTAACGGTTGCTAGGGTCGCCTGACTTCTCCACTCGAGGGGAAGCCGGCTGTCCAAAGAGGACAAGATCACGTCCAGTCCTTCATCGTCAACCAATTCTTGCAGCTTCGCCGCATCGACGGCAAGCAAACGTGCAATTCCTTTGAGGGAGCGACCGTCCATGTCGTGGCCCGACTCCATGAGCTTGGCGATGAAAAGCAAGAAAAGCTCGCGCTCACAGTGTAGACGAGCATCTTCGGACGGCCATACAGTGGGGTCCAAGACAACGGTGTCGAGGCATACGGCAGCCCCGTCGCCTCTTTCATAGATCTCATCGAAGAACGTGGTCACCGACACCTGGAGCTGCTCTGAGAAGTAGCGTCGCACGCTGGTGTTCTGGCGAACCAGCCCCGAGATAATGTCATCCTGCAGCGACGACAAGGCATGGGGCCTTTGCGCCAGCAGGAGCTTGACACATTCCAATGCAACCTCCTCGGGAGGCTTGAGTCCGTCGGTACGGAGATAGAGAGCGGCGTCTTTGCCCGCGGGCTCGTCCTTGCCACCGGTATAGCGTCGACAGAGGTCTAGCAGGTGATGGCCATTTTCTTCTTCCTGCTGGATCTTAACAAAAGCTTCCTTGACTGCCGGATGCTCTGGAGCTAAGGAGAGAGCTTCTCGGAGGTTTCGTGAGGCGGCCTGCAATGACATCACGAGCGAGTGGTTAGTCACATGGCACGAAGGTACCTATGCTGGCGACGGATGATAACCACCCAGCGGGGTCTGATAAAGAAGAAAAAGAGAGAGCAGAGCAGACATACCTCACGATGGCCAGCATCAATTAACTCAACAGCCTCCCGTGTCAAATGTACAGCGCGTTCCTCGCTCGTAGAGTGAACCATTTCAGGCCGGGTACAACAAGCCGACAATTGTAGGGTGGGATGCAAAGAGTGATGTTGATTCCGGTTTGGGGAGGAAATAAAGAAATCGGCGGGTGGAGGGACTGATAAGAAGAAACCGGTCGGAAGCGCGACGGAGGGAATCCGAAGACAAGTCAAATAGGTCGCCGGGGGAGTGGAGATTGAAGTAGTCGTAGTCAGAGAGAAAGAGGTAAAGTAGGTAGGTAGGTAGGTAGGTAAAGTAGAAAAAGAGCTGCGTCAACCCACGACCTCCGAAGCGATGGTCGAGCAACAGGACACACAGGCAATCATGGAGGGAAAAGGACGAGTAAAAGAAGTGCGTTGCGGTCGCAGAGACAGGGTAATGCTGACAGGCTGCAGGATGATGAATGAGAAGAAAGGTGTGGGAGGGAGAGGCTGTGTGGTGGGTGTGGTGTCTTCTTTTTTTTTTTTCCACTTGATTTCCCTTATTTTTTTTTTTACTTCCCTTTTTTTTCGCCTCTGGGCGTGGATGGAGGCAAGTAAGTTAAGTTACTTTTTTGGACTGAGCGTGTATGGGGGAAACGGAGGGGGAGGATTGGCGGGATGTGGGTTTGGAGCGTGAATGGCTGATACCGTAAGGTAAGGTGTGACAGACCCTCGGAGCTCCGAACGCCCAGACAAACCGGGGGAAGACGAACGCAAACCGTTTTATTACGGGGGTCTCCAGCAGGGACTCTATTTCCACCCCCGGCGGAGTTTCTCCCAAGCAATCATCCATGGGAATTTCATGGAGGGTAATCTACTTAGTACCGGTCTGCAGCTGCTCCCAGACGGGCCCCTTCCGCCCGACTGTCGGAGGTCTCCCCCCCCTTGGTTCGGCCGCCCTTCGGCGTGCGCTTAACTCCGGACTATTTCTAAAGAATATTATGGAGACTTGGAAGAGGGGGGGCTTTATCATGTTCCTCTGAATCATCAATATCAAGTAACAGGATCAGCATCACATCAGCATCATCATCGGCAAGCTTATCCTCCTGCTGTTGCTCATCGCACCCCCATTAATATAAAATCCGGCCAAAGAGAACGCCGGGGAGAGAACAGCCAGAACTATAATCCTTCCCCGTGACAGGAAGCCGAAGGAGTAATAGGTCTATCCCAGACGGTGTGGATTCCCCGGGTGGCTGGAAGTTTGGGTGGACATACTCCGTACATACTCAATAGGCATTTAGTGTGGGAGGCACCAGCGCCCTCCCAAGATAAGATGAATGGCTAAGAATAACTAAACCGGACACTACGGCCAACTTCCCACCACGCTTGGAGTCGGGCCTTCTAACCGATACACACTAGAAGATACTAGTAGCAGCCAGATCACAGTTACAGACTTTACAGGAAGCTACGGAGAACGGTGGACTAGACTACCTATCACACCCACTCAGTCACTCACTCACTGTATACCTTTCCCCTCCCCTCCCTCTCAACGCTTGGATATCAATGACGCCTTCACCGGCCTAGATGGGAACTGAAAGAGAGAATGGAAATGTCCAGCCCAGCCCAGTCCAGCCCCATCTCATCATCACTGTGCAAATAGTAGGTTTCAATGATAAGCCCACGCAGCTTCATTCAAATCAATCGAATCGGAATGATTCTTTCCTCATGCCGATAACACCAACCACAGGGGTCCGTTGCATCACGTTGCCCTGCCCGCCCTGCCGCGCCGAGCAGAGCACATCCCCCAACAGTACGGAGTAGTAGACACCTTATTCCCAGACGGACACAGGCCCCCTTTCCGTTCCAAGAAGGATTAAACACAATTTAGCCTGGAAAGAAGAAGGAAGAAGGAAGGAAGGAGAGAAATGATCCGCAAAACCCCCCAACTGTCTGTCCCATTTTCCGCCCCAAGAAGTTCTTGGTCCGAATAGTCCTGTCGCACTAGTGGTCGTCTGGTTGGCTTGGCTACATGTTCCGATCTACATCTGGGCTTTCCTCCTTCAACTGCATGTACTGCGCCTCCCCCCCGGCAGTAGATGGGTAGTAGATAGATAGATAGATAGAATCTGTCTACTGCGAGGTACTAGTTGGTGTAACTGTATGTATGTATGTATGTATGGTCCAGCCAGCCAGCCAGCCAAGCCAAGACTATCTACTCGACTATCTACCATTAACTACTACGTAGTAGGTACATGGATACCTACAGCTAGTAAGTAGGTAACTATCTATGTGAATATACGGAAAAGTAAGATGAAGAAGAATGCACAGCAAATACGTTATCTGCTGGGGATAAACATACTGTACTTATTCACCCCCCTTCTGAATTCCTAGGCAGGGCAATGGGACTAAGCACCTAGATACTACTAAATAGATACGGGATCTACGGAGTACTACTCCGTACTTGCGTACTGCGTACTACAGTATACATAACGCATACTTTATGCACAAGCGTAACCAAAGCCAAGTAAACTAAAGTCATGCAGGAATAGGGAAAAAAAAAAGTTCGGTTCCATCATTCTTCTCAACATTTTCCAAATGGGACGAAGCCACGTCCTACTTACTAACGAGTACCCATCCGGGGGGAAGACGCACTGATACATTAGTGCACCTTTCTTCCTCCCCATAAGTACTAGTATGGCTCGGTCGGGGAGGAACCAATGGTAGCCTTTTCATCTGCAGTGAGGCAGACGGTGGGTTTTGGGCCCTTGTCAATCAATCTCAATGGATGGGTGGTTTTGTCCTCCATCTATTGTACAAACAAAACACGAACAAACAAATAGGATTGTTGGGGGAGGACAAGATATGATAGTAGGTTCGGGTTCGGATTTTAGGTTTGGGTTTCTTACTTTCTTTTTGGAAGGGTTTCTTTTTGATCTGAACTACTAAGCAAGATTAACTATCATGTCAGATGGGATTGTTTAGTTAGTTATTTAGTAGTTAGTTGCTTATTATGTAGTTGCTTAAAATCTGTGCAAGTCCAGCCAGCCAGGCTACGATGCAACTTTACCTAGTCTTGACCGAAGCGGACGGCTGAAGATCCGCTGCAGCTGAGCTGACTTCTTACTACAAGGCCTTCTTCGGCGATCATCAATCCTTCTCGGTCGGAATAATTCATAGGTATGCTTTAACTACTCTTCATCATATGTAATTTTTAAAAAAGAAAAATGTCCATCATCACATCTTAGTCAGATTCGTCTGCTTCTGCAGCCTTTCCTTCTTTTCTTCTACACTTCACCACATCACATGAGGCAACCCTCCTTGATGCTGGAGTGCAGCTCGCTCGTCCCAACCCGGACACGTCGCCCGCCACGTGATCTCTGGGGCTGTCGCTGCAGATTGCCAGCCGCTGGAGATGTACCTTTGCCCCCACTCATCACCACTTCCTCTTCGTTGCCTTCCACGGCGAATACTTCCACCATCCACTCATACCATACCTTGCGGTCGTCGGTCTGCCGGTACATGGTCACCACCACTTCGCCATTGTCGGGCACATTCAATGGGGTCTGTGGATAGCAGATTGTTAGCATCCCACGTCGTAAAGCTAATATGTAGAAAAGACAGACCTTCAATGGGAAGTAGATCGGGAACCAACTGATCATGTCGGCACTCTTGGTGTCCATTGTGACGGGGTTGGTGGACAGCTCGATGTCGCGGTATAACACCGTCTCAAAGTACCCCGCCAGGCCATGGCACACTCCGCGGTTGTAGACTGGGAATGACAGACGAGTCCGGCGCACGTTATGCGAATTGGAGATCGTTGACGTGGTCGGCAATTGAGGGGGGATATGCCGGTTGGGATGCTCAAACGACCAGGTCGTCTGCACGAATGGGATGGGCGCTTCTCCAGAACCCGGTAGCGTGGAGATTGAGTCTCGGGCACTATACTTAGCGCCCCCATGACTGGAGTTCATTAGTGTAGATGCAGAGGGCTGATTCGTGGAGAGGAAGTCGATCGCGTGTAACATGACCACATACGGCGTCTCCGGCGCTGCTGGGTTAGAGACGGATTGATTCATGACATCGGCATGGAGCTTCGGCGCAGCGATGGGCGTAAGGTGAGCCGTGTAGGAAGCCGGAATGGAGATACCGTGAACAGGATTGAGTAAGTGAGTTACGCCGTCAAGGCATTCTGGCGAAAGCTCATTGTCGCCGAACGAGCCCAGCAGCTCTGAGATCAGAATGTCGATCGTAGTGGGAACGAGCTCGGTGACGGGGGGCGCGGCTGCTGATTCGGACGTCTGTGCCGATTCCTGCTCCTCGTTGGCATTGTAAAGTAACGAATCTTCGATCCCAAGGGATTGCCCTACCGGTCCTGTTTGTGCTCCCGAGTCACCCTGCTTCTCAACCTGCGGGCCTTTCCAGGCTCGCATGTCCGACTGCACAAGCTTGACTTGTCCACCCCATTTCTGCTCATTGTGGCGTTGGAGAAGGACGAAAGCATTGGTGTTCTTCTCAACTGCCCAGAGGTCAATCTTGACCCCAGTCTCGACACTGGCTTGGAGCGCCCGCGACACGAGCGGTCCTCGACCCGCACCAACCACGGCCACAACCACCCGGCCGTCGGGGTTCGAAGTTGGCTTCCCTTCACTTGCCCAGTCGGTAAGAGCTTTGGCGACCGCGCGCTCATACCATTTGTATTTGATAGGATCTTTCTCGAATACCTCATAAGTAATGCTCTCCAGGTTGACAGTCAACGGCTGCAAGGGCGCCTGAAGATAGTCTTGGTATCCAACTCCAAACCTCTCCATGGCACTCCTAGAAGGCTGGCGTTGCTGTAGATTTCTGAGGTAGGAAAGATGAGGGGTCGGGTCATAATGCTTCTTGTTGGATACTGCGGCTTGAGTGAGGCTAGGATAATCAGAGCCGGACAGAGCGGGTAGTTTGGTTCCCGAATTTTCTTGCTCATCTACGCCCGGAATTGGGCCAACATCGCAGAGAAGGATCCATGGGGATGTCCGTAGGCGCATGAACCGACCGATGAGCGCCTGGTGTGTCTTGGACAGTACGGGATAGCCCTTCTGGTTCTTGATGAACGTGTTGCCATCAAAGGTGAGCATGTGAACGGGCTCGGAATACCAGCGAGACTGCACGGACATGGGAGGGAGGTGCTTAGGCATTGACAGTGCTAATGATACCATCTTAGCAGCAGGTAGGAGACGCAAAATGAAGACCATGGGTGATTATCTTACCTACGACAAGCCTGGAGTGGTATTTACAAGTTCTTCGTATCATATCCCAAGCATCCCAAGTGCCAAAAGGATCCACTCGCAATGGCTGCCCTGTGAGCGGTTCTCCAAGGAACTCCTGACGAGCAAGGCGAGACAGATCGGCTATTCCATCTACTTCCAAGTCTGGATTATCAACCATAGGCATCCAAATGTGAAACTGTATGTAAGGAGCGAGGTTGATAGCATCCTGTATCGCTCTCGCATAGTAGCTCACGCCTTCTGCATGGATCTCTCCATGGTGCAGTTTCGGGCCGGGAATCAAGAGATACCCAAGGCCACAGAAAGCTGCGTACGCGACCTCCCGCATGAACACCTGACGCGAGATGTCTGCAATCAGGGGATCCGGGGAGCATAGATCGATCCAACCGCTGGTGACTCCAACTATCTGCGACATCGTCTCATCCGGGGTTAAGTGGCTATCGGCGGGAGTTAAGGGAGGGATAAAGATGGGGCGCATATTGTCGGTCGTCATCAATGTCCCATTGGCAGCCGGAGTCAAAGGAGCGTTTGGTTTGGAGCCTAACAGGGTGAGGATGCGAGAATGGAAGGCCTCCGTGGTAATTGGTGCCGTAAGCATGTCATACTGAGCGATCCAAGTTAGCACATGAGCCGGAATTTGCACGAAGACATGCGTACATTGCTTTCATGGGCTGCCTGTACAATTGCAGCCGTGATTGGGTTCTTGCGGTTGGTTTCATGCTGTCCGATGCAAAAGCTAGGAGCCATGTCTTCTGGATTGAAAGAGTCCATGTTCGACAACGGCGGATATTCTAAGACGAGAAAAGGGCACTGGGACCTGGTGATGGGGCGATATGACAAAGTTAAATGCAACTAAACAGTAGACACATAGGCTGAGATTATGAGGCAGAGAATCGTTAATCGGATTGTATATAGGGAAGGAAAGGCGATGAATATTGACAACGGTCTCTATCTAGGTAGTAGCTGGTTAGTCCCGCATCGCAGATCAATTGAGTTTCCCGGCAGTTTTCATCTCAAGGCCAGGCAGGTTCTGATATAAGAACGGCAACAAACATGGGAGAGCAAAGGAGGAGGTACAGTCGCGTAGGGATGCTAACCGAGAAATTAAACGCCCCTTCAGTGGGAACGTCGCGCGACAATGGGCTCCTGGATAGCCCCGCGTACCTGAGCAAACGTGCATCGCGACGGACTTTCTTTCATGCCTGGATGCCTGGATGCCCCTTGCCGGCGGTAAGCGATTTCTGTGGGGTTTCCAGCGGCAGAATACAGGGCGGTGAGGCGCGGAAAATGCAGCTGTGGCGACGGGCGGCCAACCTGCCTATCCGGGCCGCCTTTTTTTTCTGAAGCCGTTCGGCGACAATCCCATCTCTCGTTTGTCGCTCCGCAGCCAACTTCTTTCCTCTTCTTCCCCCACAATTTTCTTTCCTGGCTTCGCTCTCTGCTAGCCGTCATGGTTGATCGACGATCGGATTCTGAGAACGGTTCGCGTGCTAAACGTCAAAAGATGGACAAGTCTGAAACCGATCCCAAGGACAACCCGTACCTGGCTCACATGTATGCGGACAACGGCAACTCCAACACATGGACCGATGGCACCACAGATCTTCACCCCGCCTTTGGGAAGATGAAGAGGCACCAGACCACCGCTGCGTTGGCTAAGAAGGTGGAAGATGGCGATATCAACCCTTTCAACGGTCAACCCTTCTCCAGCAAATATGTTTCTATCCTGCAGACTCGTCGCGATCTGCCCGTACATGCTCAGAGGTGAGAATTCAACACCCGTGCAGATGGTTTGCTACATCGCAAATGGGTTCTAACCATGGTTTTTCTATAGAGATGAATTCTTGGAGCTTTACCAAAAGTCGCAGATTTTGGTCTTTGTCGGTGAAACTGGTTCCGGAAAGACCACGCAGATTCCCCAATTCGTCCTCTTTGATGACATGCCGCAAACTCAGCGCAAGATGGTTGCTTGTACCCAGCCTCGTCGTGTCGCCGCCATGTCCGTCGCTCAACGTGTCGCCGCCGAGTTGGATGTCAAGCTTGGAGAGGAAGTCGGTTACAGCATCCGTTTCGAAGATATGACCAGTTCCAAGACTGTGCTCAAGTACATGACGGACGGTATGCTTCTGAGAGAAGCCATGAACGACCACAACCTTAACCGCTACAGTACCATCATTCTGGACGAAGCCCACGAGAGAACAATGGCTACTGATGTCCTCATGGGTCTTCTCAAGGAAGTTGTGCTGCGCCGGCCTGACTTGAAGATCATTATCATGTCTGCTACTCTGGATGCACAGAAGTTCCAGCGTTACTTCAACGATGCCCCTCTCCTTGCGGTTCCCGGTCGTACTCACCCTGTCGAGATCTTCTATACCCCTGAGCCCGAGCAGGACTACGTCGAAGCTGCCATTCGCACCGTCCTGCAGATCCACGCGACAGAAGACGAAGGTGATATCCTTCTCTTCTTGACTGGTGAAGAAGAAATTGAAGACGCCTCACGGAAGATCTCGTTAGAAGCCGATGAAATGGTAAGAGAGGCTGATGCTGGGCCTATCAAGGTCTACCCTCTCTACGGTAGTCTGCCCCCGCATATGCAGCAGCGCATTTTCGAACCGGCTCCCCCTGCCCGCCGTCCGGGAGGCCGTCCCGGCCGGAAGGTCATTGTGTCCACCAACATCGCTGAAACTTCGCTTACCATCGACGGTATCGTCTACGTCGTCGATCCTGGTTTCTCGAAGCAGAAGATCTACAACCCCCGTATCCGTGTCGAGTCTCTTCTGGTGTCTCCCATCTCCAAAGCCTCCGCGCAACAGAGAGCTGGTCGTGCTGGTCGTACGCGCCCCGGAAAGTGCTTCCGTCTGTACACCGAAGGAGCCTTCAAGAAGGAACTCATTGACCAGACATACCCCGAGATTCTGCGCTCCAATCTTTCTTCTACCGTGCTGGAGTTGAAGAAGCTAGGCATTGATGATCTTGTCCACTTCGATCTGATGGATCCTCCTGCTCCGGAGACTCTGATGAGAGCTTTGGAGGAACTCAACTATCTGGCTTGCTTGGACGATGATGGAAACCTCACTCAGCTGGGTCGCTTGGCCTCTGAGTTCCCCCTTGATCCCGCACTTGCTGTGATGCTGATCAGCTCCCCCGAATTCTACTGCTCCAACGAAATCCTTTCGATCACAGCTCTGCTTTCCGTCCCCCAAGTCTTCGTCAGACCTGCTTCTCAGCGGAAGCGTGCCGATGAGATGAAGGATCTCTTCGCCCACCCCGACGGTGACCACCTTACCCTTCTTAATGTCTACCATGCCTTCAAGAGCCCCGAAGCGCAGGACAACCTGAAGCAGTGGTGCCACGACCACTTCCTCTCTCTGAGATCGCTGCAATCCGCAGACAACGTGCGCATGCAGCTTCTGCGCATCATGGAGCGTGAGGAACTCGAGATGGTGTCGACCCCCTTCGAGGACAAGAAGTATTACGAAAACATTCGCCGTGCGCTGTGCGCCGGCTTCTTCATGCAGGTCGCCAAGAAGGAGACTCAGGGCAAGAACATGTATGTCACGATCAAGGACAACCAGAACGTTCTCTTGCACCCCTCGACCGTCCTGGGCCACGAAGCAGAATGGGTTCTCTACAACGAATTCGTTCTCACCACCAAGAACTACATTCGGACTGTCACGGCCGTCAAGCCCGAATGGCTCATTGTAAGTCATACCTTAACTCTAACACCTAGACCAGTACTAACACAGCACCTACCAGGACATCGCACCCACCTACTACGACATCTCCGGCTTCCCCAAGGGCGAGATTCGCTCCTCCCTCCTTCGCGCTGCCGAGAGACTTTCCCGCAAGGAGAAGATGCGCTCTGATTCCAGCAGAAGACGATAGACTAGGTTAATTCTTTGTTGTCACGATATCTATAGATCATGTTTTCTTTTCACTTCATGCCCATGATAATCATGCAGCTCAATTAAAAAGGGTGTATCCGGTTCTTCCTTTTTCCATATTCTTTTTCATCTTATTCACAGTACTTATACATTCGTCTGTTACTTTATCATCTTTCATGTCTCCGGGCTTTTTCTTACTCTGTTACGGACTTTGGTCTTCCCGGGGACTATGCAGTATTTATTATCCACCTCAACAAATATACCTCTGAACTTAGATAGGGTACGGATTAGAAAGAGTGTTTGTCCCGGGACATAAAGTAAAACATAACTCAATCCCAGTGTAGATCGTAGTCGTTAGACCTCTAATCGAAATGCCCACGTCAAGTACAATAAACTCACGGAACAGCATACTTACTCCGCTAGTAACTTTATGCAATACTGACAACCTAGTCACTCCATTCAAGAGTATGGACCGGATAATACCTATTCAAGGGACTAGGAACCCAACGCTCAATTCTAACCCTTATTTATCATCACAAGAAAAATAAAATGATAAAGGAAAAAGTACAAGCTATAGTATAAATACTGTACACATGTTATAGGTAGTAACTAACCACCTAGAGATATAAAAACATCCAAAGCAATCCCAATGCAGGCCAGAGGTTGGCGAGCTTATCATCGACACTTTCACCGTACATGAGTGGTATAACGTAGGTATAGGATAGGATGTGATGGGTATACGGAGGGAGTATGTTCCATCTGAGTTTTGAGTTGGGGGAGAGGGAAAAGGGGGAATAGGAGGATGCTCTGAGGAACGGCAATTATTCGTGGCCCAGAGAGTAGCGTAAAGTACCTCAAGGGGCTGAGGTAACTGAGTCTACGACTTCATGTATCGAATGCTGACTTTGTTGAAAGAAGATTCGAGTTCCGGCGCAGGAGCAATGTGTTCGTGTTTTCGACGGAGGAGGTGGTCTTGGTGGTGGGTAGAGCGAGGGGGAGAAGGAGGGGGCGACGGTATGGTAGACTCCTGCTTGCGGGTCTGGTGGAGGTCGAAGACCATTTGCTTGAGTTGTGAGATTTCGGCCTTCAGGGAGGTGATCTCTTGTTCCTGGGCTGCGGCTGTGGACTCGTTCTCCTTTTTGGCTTTTTCGACTTGTTTGCTGATTTCTTGGAGCAGGCTCTGGCGGTCCTTATCTTCGAAGACTTGCTCGGGAATTTTAGGGGCGTTGGCTGACGCTGGGGATCCGGCGAGCATGGCGTTTAAGACTTGCTGGGAGTAGAGCTCTATCATGTCTTGCCACTTTTTGGAGGGCGATTTGCCCTCGTAGGCGCTCAGACGCTCGTTCATGACGTTCACGAAGGCGTAAGCTTTCTCCCATGCGAGCTTCTCTTGCATATCCTTTGGTGCGGCCTCCGCTGCCAATGACCATCTCTTGTGGTAGGGGTCGTGGGAAGACTTGATGTCTAGTTGCTTGCTGGCTGCTTCCCAGTTGAAACCGCTGTTCATGGCTGAGGTGATGATAGCCTCGGACATGTCGTATTGCTCGCAGGCATCGCACATGTGTACCATTAGTACGATGAGTCGTTCAAGACGGAAAAGCTGGTGCTCTGTTGACGAGACCATGAATGCCAGTGTTCTTTTGAGGGTCTGCACTCCCTTTTCCCAGTCGGTACGGATAGCACAGAACCGCAGGTAAGAGTTAAGGATTGCAAAGTCGTCCATATGCCCTGCAGATCTCGCAGCAAGGAGGTATGCATCGGCGCGATCCGGCTGATCGAAGCGCAGGCAAGACACAATAAGGGTGGCGTAGATGACAGGGTTCGCCGAATCCACTGGTGGGACGATAATCTCAACTCCATTGACCACTTGGCGCTGATACAGACCCAAGCCGTTCATGTCTACTGGATAGCCGTGTCCGTTCAACATCTCCAGGAATATGTCGAATCCCATAAGATTCTTTGACTTCCGGAAGAACGTAAGGATCGTGAGGATAAGAGAGGCGCTGAGCGGGAACTTATGTGGAAGGATGGTCTTCAAGATCAAATCACAGATATCGTTCTGACGGGTCTTGGTGAACGCAAGAATCATCTTCTTTATGACTTCTGGCCGGTCCGGATCCGTGCACTGCATCAGGTTGTTGGCTAGCCGGAGGAGTAGTTCCTGCAAGGGCATCTCATTCCGCATATAGATTTCGGTATCACGCTGGACGTCCCGATCGAGTCGATTCCGCTCTTCCGTCATCTGTCGTATCGAGTGCACACGAAGGTCCTTGGCTAAATCATCAATGTTAGCCTTCTCCGAGCCCTTCACTTGACGCATTCTGCGCCGAAGGCTGTTCAGTTCCGCTAGCAACTGCGGCACTCTCAATTGGGGTATTGAGAAGTCGGCACTGTAGTTCATCTGAACCCCCTGATAGCTGTGAGCAATTGCCGGCCGCAACAAAAGTCTAATGGCTAGCTGCTTGAGCGCAAGCTTCCGGATGACCTTCTGGCGAACCACATCCCCAGTAAGCCATGTGGGCGTATCGTCATCCTCCAGCGAAAGGCCATAGTCCTCATTCGCGTCCTCCGCCAGCGGATCCTCGCTCTCCGCGACCAGATCACGAATTATCTGATTATCCCTCTCATTCGCAAAGGCAGTCGTTGAGTGGAAGGATGCAAACGGTGCGTTCCTTCTGGGCCATTGGTATCTCATAGGTGCCGGGCGAGTCGCTGTGCTGAACTGTCTGGTCTGTAACGTTCCATTGAGAAATCCCTGCTTCCGACGCGACATAAGAGCCTCCACCAGACGCTGTTCCTCATCCACCAGCTCAATGACCTCTTCCTTGACTGCCGCGATCTTTTCCTCCCATTCGTGACGGCGCTGGCCCTTGGCCTGGGCGTCTGCCAAAGCAGCGGCGGCGAAGATGCTGGTGTATAGTGCTGTTACCGAGTTTCCGAGCCGGAGGCGTTTCTTGCTGGCAGCCGAAGTACCTCTCGAGGCCACCCCATTGGAAACGGTACTTAAGCAAGAGACGCAGCGGCAGGTGGATTGCGCCGGAGCGGCGCGGGACCAAAGACCTTGCATTCTCAAGTCATTTCTGCCGTGAACCGACTCCAATGACGAGAATCAGAGGATGGGGAATGTGACCAATTGATTGATCACAAGGATCCGACGACCAATGGCGGGACAGAATCGAGGTCGGGGGGGAAAGATGAAGGGGGTCGGAGGGGGAGGAAATATCGGGGCGGAAGGTCGAGAATCTTTTGATGATGATCCAAAACCGGCTAAACGAAAGTCGGACCACCGGCAATGCAAACCAAACAAACTGGGGGAACTTCCAGCTGTTGGAACCAAGACTGACTGGCTTGACTTGGTTTGGAATGGAATCAGCCATCCCTTTCTTTGTTCCCGGCGATCTGTCACATTCGCGAGATCTCATTCATTCTGCAATTTTACGACTCGTCGGATCTTCGCCTGGCAGCTCGTGGCTCTATAAATAAGTATATCCTCACCTGACAATGCTTGTCGTCCTCGCTACTGCTCTATTGGCCCTGAGCGGCAGCTTGGTGAGTGCCCACGGTTCTCACCCCGACCAGCCGCCCTCGTCGGATTGGGCCACCCGGCATATGCAAGGTATTTACTACTACCATCTATCATGTTGATATCCGTCCCGAAAGGGAAGCAATTGATTGTGTGACTGACTCTCTGGCCCCAATTGAACAGAGGAGCATCACATTGATGCCTTCGATGCTGCTTCCTTCTTCTCCCTTCACGACTATGATGAATCCGGGGCATGGACTCCCGAGGAAGTGCGCAAGACATACGGCATGGACGATGAGACGAATGCAGGTGCCACAGAGGATCGCAAGAGCCAAGCCTTGAGAGAGGTGTTCACGCTCTTCGACCCCACGAATACTGGCTTCATCACCCGCGACAATTGGATGCGCATCATCGCCGAGGGCACTCGGCTGCCCGATCTGGGATTCGGTCCGGGCCACCACGGCGACATTGAGTATGAGTACGAGATCCACCACTTCGAGAAGTACCATGGCGAAGATGCGACAGAGGAGGAGCTCACCCACCCCGAAGACATTGAGCACTTCCGGCGGCACGACGAGGAAGATCTGGCGATGGAGCGTCTCGAGCAGCTCGAGAGCATGCAGATCGTCGAGGCCAACATACCGCAGAAGTTCCTCAAGCAAGCTTAGATGAGTGTACATTAGATTCCTTATGTTGTTGTTATAGTTGATGATGATACTGTACATAATAAATGTGTGATGAGACGAACATCCTCGTGGGTGGTCATACCTTGGAAATAATGCCAACCCAATTCAAACGAAGCGTCCATGAGCGTTATAACGTTATACCTCCAGCGCCGGCACCTTGACATCAAACACGCAATGCATCACCCCCGGAGCATACGTCTTGACCTGTTCAACATGTCGACACTCCGCCACGACCTCACCTTCCACCTCCAAAACCTCCCCCCTCAACCTCCCAATCTCACTCGTGACCCGATCCCTCATCTCCTCAATGCGCCTCACATCCACATTCTCATGCACATGCAACCAACCCCCCAACCTTCCATCCACCATCCGACACGCATCCCCCCAAGCAGCCTCCGACGACGGCAACAACCCCAAATTAACATGCCTCACAGGCGCCCACCGCCCCCTCACCTCCATCACATCCCTAATCGTCGCCAAAACGCGCGCCGCAAACCGATTATCCCCATGAAACACCACCACCTTATCCCCATCCTCCCCATCCCTCAACCCATCCACCAACTCCTCCACCCCCATCCCACCCTCCAACACCCCATCCTCACCAACCCTAACAACCCTACATCCCCACCCATTAGCCACACACCCCCTCCGTAACCCCTCAACAGACCACCCATTAATCTCCCATCCCCAAACCCTCCTCACCCCGCGCCGGAGGTACGAAAACACAAAATACCCTATCCCCGCATACATATCCACCACACTCATCCCTCGCCCTGCCCCCTCAATATCCTGCCTGGCTAACCCCTCCATCCCCGATCCCAATATCCGCGCCTTCTCCGTAACATTCCCCCTCGAGAACATCGTATACATAGGCGCCCAGATCTGCTCAATGCCATGGTTCTGCACCGTGCTTACCCAGAACGCGCGTCCCAGGTCCTCCGCTGTTGGCGAGTCGAGGTTTCGGATTGTGCTGGGCGCGGGCCCAAAGTCTCCGTGCAGTGGGAGTAGACCGCCGGGACTGCGCATGCGGTTCTCGGTGCCTTGTGCGTCGGTTAGGGCGATGGGGGCGTTCATGGCGATGTGGGTCAGGTTGTAGCGGGAGAAGGCGGAGAGGATGCATTCGTACAGAGTCGTCTTTTGGGTTGGTGTTAGGGTGCTGTAGAGGGTGTGCCAGGCGGGTGGGGTGGTGAGGGCGTTGACGGGGAGGAGGAGGAGGGGGGCGTAGATTGTGAAGCGTTTGGGGAGGGAGGATATGGTGAGGGTGGTGTCATTGTTGTTGTGGTGGTGGGTTAGGTAGGTTGTGATGCCTTTTTGGAGGGGGTTGAGGAGCGTTGGTTTGGGTTTGCGGGGGTGGTTGTGGTGCTGGTTGTTATGGTTTTTCGTGGTGGTGGTGATGGCATTGTCGGTGGTGAGGGGGAGGGGTGATGTGGTGGTTGTGGTTGTTGTGTTGGTGGTAGTGTCGGGGTTGTCCGGGGGTGGTAGCATGGTGAGGGAGGTATGTAGGTGGGTGCCAATTGCTGTTGAAGCGTGTGGAAGCTGTAGATATAGATGCAGGAAGATATTGTACCTTGGTGGTTACCGATAGTGTATTGATCTGACGGGCGACGATGAAAAATACATGATCTGCGGGGAGTGGGGAATGTTTTGTGGTTCGGAAGTGGGCAGTCTAGTTGAATGGTACTATAGAGTGCAAGGTAGGAATAATAATGCCACAACAAATCCGAACTAATATCCGGTGGTAAGGCTGCTGGATTAAAGCCTTGTTATTCTGGATGCTATTCTCTTGGATGTAATTCGATTAAAAGACTATTTTCAGTATCTAGGAAGTAAAGAATATTCAGAGTCAATTCTTGTAAATGCGTCATGAAGTCAATATTATAAAGGTTGGATTTATTAGATCGATTGATTGCTTTTATTATTTTTCTGATCCTAATTTCTCTACATTTTCTCTCTAGATACTTCATGGACGACTCGTTTCTATAAATCTACATAATCCTGGAGTATAAAATCAGCCGGTGCCACTCTACAAACACATATCTTGGAATTAGAACATTCGGAAAGAAGTAGAAACCTCCCATAGCTATTAGACTATAAATATGTCCGCCTCCGTGCACCTCCCCGAAACAATCATCTAGACATTGTCCCGTAGAAGAAAGCCACCATTCTGCAGCTTCTGAAAAACGCCCTCCGGGTCATACTTGGCCGCCACCTCCTGCATCCGCTTAACATTCTCGGCCCTGTAGCTGCCCAGAACCTTCTGGGAAGCGGTAGCAAAGCTCATACACTTGAAATCCAGCAGAAGTCCTCTCGCCTTAGCCAGGTTCTGCACTTTTTCTGACATGGTATTAACAGCACTTTGTGCAGCAACATCATCGCCATCTTTGGGCCATTCGCAGGTGAAAACCCACCCTATTACAATTGGGGGAAGTTGCATTAGCCTTAACAACTGACATGCAAGGAATGGGGAGTAAACATACAGCATTGTGGAACACTCTCGTGGCCCATGATATTCTCACCACGGTCTTTACCAGCTTGAACAGCAGCTGTACCGACTGGCTGAATGGTATAATGTAGGACGGTATCAGCTGGAAGGGTCTTACGGACCTCAACCCAGGTTTTATACACTTCTTCGTATAGCTCGGGTGAGTTCCGGGTGGTAACTGTACAAATAGATCGTCTATATCTATATTAGTAACCATAAGAGTAAGCTCCAATTACAACTAGTACTTACTTGAGAGGTGTCTGGGCATGACCCATAGCTTGAGCTAGAGATAAAAGGGTACCATTTGTCGAGGGTAGGACTGTTGTCACCAAGCTTTTGAGGTCATGGAACGGCCTGAAAGTTTCCCGGGCCTCAGACTCAGCTGGATGGTCTCCATAGAGTAGGCCTACTGCAACAAAGCCGTTGTTGAAATTGGTAAACAGCCCTATCTTGGGATCTTTCTCCATAATTTGTTGAACTTCGAAAGTAGCCTGGTTAACTGCCGCATGATCCTCGGGGTTGTAGAGATTGATGGTATATTGGACATTGATCAAAGGGTGGGTTTCAAGATCAAACCGTGTCACAATGCCTGTTATGATAGAGATTAATTAACATATATTCTGAAGACAACTATGCCATTAGACATACCAAAGTTAGAGCCACCGCCCTTGAGGGCGCGGAAGAGATCGGAGTTCTCATTACTATTAGCATTGATGAGTTTTCCATCCGCGAGTAAGATCTGGAGGACTCGTTAATTTTAAATCCTGGTACTGCCATGCCCTACACTCAACTCCTCGCCCAAAATAGAACAAAAAAAAAGAATGTCAAAGATACTCTCGAACATACCTCAAAGTTCTTCACTCCATCAGCGCCGAGTCCATAAAGATTAGGCAAAGCCCCCAAACCTCCTATTGCGAAGTAGTCAGTGACTTACACCAAGAAGAGAGAGACAGAGAGAGGCAAGAGACAAACAAGCAAGCACACATACCTCCTAACAGAAACCCTCCCAGTCCTACCTGGGAATCCCTCCCCCCAATGGCAGACAACCCTCGCTCCTCCAGCCAAGCATACACCTCACCCCAGGTATTTCCCGACCCAAAGCGTGCAATACCTTCTTGATCAGACAGTAGTTCTTTTGACCTAAGCTCCCTAATATCCAACACCACACCTGCTTCACCGGCACTGCTGAATCCCACATTCGGGTTATGACCGGTTGTGCGGACAGCAAACTTGGTACCAGTCTCTTGTACAATAGCCAGGGCCTTCGTCAATTCCTCAACAGTACACAAGTAGACATATGCTGCCGCAGGAGTCCAGCAGGTCTGTGACCAGGGATAGGTCACAGCAGCTTGGTACCTGTCACCAGATTCGTTGATCACCACTTTATCGGGAGTATCATCGGGAAAGATAGATTTAAGCTGATCCAAAGCAGCGGCTGCCATGATTGTCCTGTGTAAAGGTGAGGATGGGGATTGAATTGTTATTACTTGTAGATAATGAGAGATGCTGAAGGCAATGAAGTGAGAGATAGCTGTCTTTTTGTTTTCTTCTCTTTTGGTTCTCGCACGAGCTCGACTGGAGGTGTCTGGGAGTTTTATATTACAAGAGACGCCTGTCACTCCGGCTCCTAGTCTCTCTTGAAGTCTCTGACTAGGAGGGATGTGCCCAAACGTGCATTGCTTGATCCACTTCACTCACTTTCTCTTTGTCTTTCATTCTCCTCCCACTGCGCCTCTCTCCGCTCCATCCAACCCCAACCCCTGTTTCTGTCCAGATCGGGGCAATGACAAGGCAGGATGGATAAGCACTAAAAGCACAGATACCCACATAAGGTGGAAAGTGGAGCCTAGCGGGAATGATCGGTTATACTATATCATACTAAGTATCTATCCAGCCGAACATGTTGGTTGTCACAGTTGATTGGAACTAGCAGTCTGTTGGTGATTCACAGCTAGTGATATTCCGCAGATTTGGTCACCCGGTTTCTCTCATTGGTGCCCTGCTGGACACCTTCGTGTCATTCAAGCAACTACAGGGTCTTCTGCGTGGTCGTGCGCTGATAATTCAAACTTTTCGTGAATGTTGTCTCTGGCGTTGGGATATAAGATCAATTACTCTAGATTTGTTGAAGTGGTTGTTGGTGTCGAATGTAACAGGCAAGAGAAGTTAGCCCATGATATGACCTCACCGTGATAAGGGTATTATTTATTCGTACCATACGACTTGTGGGTTGTATTACAGACGTCAAAATTGCTGGGGGAGGGGGAGGGGGGGGGGAGTCATGTGGGTGTTAGACCAAGTTTTCATGCATAAAGTACAATCACGTACAGTACAGCGCTCGAATATCAGAAATGCATGACACTCGAGGCGGAACCGACCTCCGTCACAAAGATACCCAGGGTCTAAGACATATGAGGTTACATGGTAAAGGCATAGAGACGAGAAGAAGTCAGTCATCACATGATAGTATTCATGCAAGGCGGATAGGAGTAGCGCCCTAAGAAGGCTTAAAGATAGAGTAAGAACAGATAGGAAGGCGTATACTGGCCCTATTAGAAGTATATGAACGCTCAAATAAAAACAGAATGCAACGGGCGCTGTAACGATCGACTTGTAGCAGCAGTAGACGTAACGAGTGGTATCATGGCGAGATTAATAGTCCATCACGGAGTATCCCAGGCGGTCATTTGTGTCGAGCACACTGCTTATCAGTCAATATCAGTCATTCTATACCTGTAGGTAAAGCACACTCACGAGTATTGTTTAGTCAACGTCCCTTCACCACCCTTAGAGAGATCGATGTTGAATACATAGAAGTTGCCGTCGCTTGTCACCACCATAACCTGGGGAGTGTTGGCGCTCATGGCGACCACACTGCGCAACGGGCCGTTGTTCCCGTTTGCTCCAGGCCCTTGGTTAGATTTCGGCAGTTTAATCCAGGCAAAGTCTCGGGCGGGCTCCCACATCTCGCTGACTCCCTTGGGGAGGTAGCCTCCAACCTTGGCAGCAAATGTGCTCCCAACGTTTTGGGAGGTGCGCCGGATCATGCCCATCAGAGTTCCATTGTGTTTCCTCGACGCAAGCTCGGATGCGGCCATGTCTCCACCTCTATCATCGGCATCGGATAATTGTCCAAGTGAGCTTTGGCTAGACCTTCGATCAGCGGCCGTAAGTGAAGAGGATGGTGTAGCGTCTGGCGACTGTGATTGAAGGCTTAATTTGAATAGGTGGATCGTTTCCGTGGAAGATGATACACAAAGGAGGGTCGAGGTGGTGTTGAAAGACATGCTGTAGATTCTGGATGGTATCGACCCTCGTCGGAACTGGTAAAGCTTGCGCCCGTCGGGGACAGAGAATACCCGTATGATCGTTCCTTTGTCCGACGCCGTGGCTATAAGTGTGCCGTCGCTATTCAACGTGATACACGCCAGCGGGGACCGATGCGCTTCAATGACGTTGATCGCTTCCAGCTTCAGAGTATCAAAGATCAGAACCTCGCCACTTGTAGGTGTAACATGTGTTGTGCCCGGAGGCGCGTGAGCTGGAGGTTGAAACGTAGAGGGCGGCGCCTTTTGCGGAAGAGGGTATGCAAGATAGCAGTTATCCGAGGATGGAGAGAGGGCACAGAGTGCTGCCAACAGTTAGACAACCAAGCACATCCGTATCAAAGGTAGTCGCAGCCTTACCGTTTGGGTTGGGAGAGGTCTCGATGGTATACAGGAGCTTCATCGTCTGGATGTCGTAGAGGTATATCTGGTCCTCCAGCACAATGACAAGCCGTTTCCGGTTCAGCTTCACAGCCAGCACGGTCGTGGGAAATGTCAATTCGCATATCGTCGATTGGCGCTATATGTTGCAGATGTGAGAAAAAGCGTTAACCATTTGCGCCTCGTGAATCGCGCAGCAGAATACAGGGAGAGATCATGCGATTTTTGAAAAAGAAGAATCTAACATCATGCGCGAAGGATTTCCTACGAACCTTGGTATTAGTTATTTGAAGGCGACGTGGTGATAAGATCAGCGCAACCAGGGACGTCGAGAACAGCATCTCAATAATAGCTATATTCCCTTCTTTCGTCTCATAGCTTTTTGCGAAAGGGTCCGTGGTGAAGATGCGAAACCCCTTGGAAGTCGCTGACAGGTGTCAAGACATATTTCATGAGTGTAGAAGGGAGGAGTTGGGAGCATGAAGAGCCTTACCCACAGCTAGATAGCTATAGTCCTGGTTAAACGTCACGAAGTTCATCGACATCGTTGCTTTGTCGATCACCGGGATCGACCACACCTCACTCCACTCTGCTTTCCTATTAAACCAATATATGACAGCACAGTATGCCGTGTGATGAATAAACCGAGAATTCCGAGATGAGCTTTGGTGATATCACGTCGCCTGGAGGAGTAACACGCTTTAGTGTCGGGTATGGAGGGGTTAGCAGATCCCTGGTTAGAGTCGGTTCCGTCACTGTTGATGGGCCTTGATTTGCATCTCTCGCTTGCGCAACTGTCACTCGAGTAACGGTTCGCCGTTTATATACTCCGAGCGCCTCCACAACCGCGAGGTGACGCCGACTTGGTTGGTTGGTAGCGGAGGTATCCGGGGGAAGAACAACAGTTCCTCTCCTTTGCCGCGGTCTGCGTCAGGCGCGGCAAGCGAAGCACCTGACGCTTGGGCCACATCTTGATCGACATTTCCGCCTTTCTTTTCGCAAATTTCCACTTTATTTCTTCCCTCTCCTACGATAACCCCGCACAACGTCAATTTCACCATGACGGCAAAAAAGGAAGCCGGCCCTGTCAAGGCAGCTACGAAAAAGCCGGCAATGGCTACAGCCAGCACGAAAGCTGAGAAGGAGGCCGATCTGGTTATGGGGGTAAGTCGCAATTGCATACTATGACGGAGTCCCACTATGCGCCTGGCGCAGACACAGACCACCCCCAGCGCCTACATATCTCTCGATTGCCTGTGCTACATCTAACAGTCCTAGACCAATAACAGTAGTATCGTATCTAAACGCAGCGTCGAAATGCTCTACTATCCCAAGCCCCATTTCTTTCGGTATTTCGTCAAAAAGCCCCAGCGGCGGTCGCCGTTGATCAATCGTGGATATTGGCTTCGTATGCATGCGATGGCAGAGTCGGTGCGACAATTTATGAGAGAGCCTACGGGAAAACCCAAGTTTGTCCTGAACTTGGGGTGTGGATTGTGAGTCGTAGCAAACCGGAAGCAACCGCTTGGTTGCAGAACCTATTGGTACCTGGATCGTATGCTAAGATGGGTTATCGTAGTGATCCCCTACCGTTCATTCTCCTCAGTGAAGATCCATCCCTGTGTAGAGATACGCAATTCGTCGATATCGATTATGAGAAGCTCATGATCAATAAGAAGACCGCCATCAAAAGGACCGATGAAATCACACAGGTTCTCCAGGATGTAGAGTTCCTATCCGACGAAAGCGCCGTGCAAATACGCAGCGCGAAATACCTAGGCATTGGATGCGATCTCAAAAATCTCAAAAAGTTGGACGATGTGCTGAGAGCCGAGGTCCTGCCCGCTGAGTGCTCAGTCCTCTTCCTAGCTGAGGTTTCCTTGACTTATATGGATGTCAAGTCTGCCAATGCGGTTGTCGAGTGGGCGTCAAAGTTGAACAACGGTACGGTGTCTATTCCGTGCGGCTCCGTGGCTGATCGCATGCAAACTAACGTCAAACCTCATAGATGCCAAGTTCTGTATTCTTGAACAGTTCTTCCCCGACGGACCCGATCATCCTTTCGCCTCGACCATGATGAAACACTTCAAGAAGCTCGGAGCACCGCTGTACTCGATTCACGAATACCCTTCACTTAACGAGCAAGAACAGCGGTTCAGGAACGCCGGATGGCAGCAAGCCAATGCCAGAAGTCTGTGGGATCTATGGTCGGATGACGGATTTGTGACCAGTTCGCTGCGATCCTCTCTGGATGCTGTGGAACCGTTCGATGAATGGGAAGAATTTGCACTTTTTGCTTCTCATTACTTCCTTCTCGTCGCCTCTACATCACAAGGAGAAACAGATCGCAGCGCAGCAAAGACCACGCAGGCCGAACAGGAAGTCGACGTTTCCAACCAGTACGCGCTTCTTGCAAAGTACCCGGCGGGAGGTGGCCAACGCAGGTTCGGAGCGCTTGTTCCAGATGGCACAAACTCGGTCGGTTACCATGCCGGGCTGGGACGGCAGACGCGACTAGCAACGACGGATCTGTACGCGAACACAAGCGACGTCACCGGTCCTACCCTGCCTGTACCTTCCCGCGACATCCCAGCCAGGATGTGTCATACCGTAACACAGCTATCTGGTGGCGATTGTTTACTTGTTGGTGGCCGGGCTTCACCCACTGCTGGTCTTCAGGATTGTTGGCTAAGACAGGGGACCCAGTGGCGTCCGACACATAACCTCCCAATCGA